GGCCACGTGTTACGTATGCCCGAACACCGATTACCACGACATGCAATGCTAACCGGTGTTCGGGATGGTTGGAAGAAAGTTATGGGCGGCCAAACCAAAACGTGGCATCAGTGCTTGAAGTCACTAACTTGTAGTCTGAGCCATGTTGGTAGATGTTGACTACTTGGTTGGGGTCCGTGTGACTATCGTAACCAGTGGTTGGAAACTCTTGGTGACATGGCCCAGAATCGATCACAATGGCGTCGGTGTATACACTCTGTCTTCCCTTAAACTAAGAGATTGAAATCGCTTCATATCTTTCTTTCTACGAACTAATTCTTTCTTCCTATACTATATCCTTATATGCAATCTTTCTTTTATATATTACCACCTCTGAATTAACTACTTTTATGAATCCGGTGTCCATCTTGTTGTGTTAATGAGGTATGGCAACTTGGAGCGATGCATATATGTGCCTAATCCTACGTTGTGACTGACTGATATCAGGTCCTCGTTTATCGCTAAAGGTGTAAATGACTTGAAATTAGTACAAATCATCGCACAAGTATGGGTTTTTAGACTATTTTTATCAGGTCCTCCACACAGTATCGAGTGGTATATCTCTCTTATGTAACTGTCGTGAGGTTGGAGTACGTAGTAGTCTAACTCATGTGATGTCGACATGTATGTCACAGTTTTTCATCAAAATTTAGTATTTTTTATTCACCTTGATAGTTTACATATGAATTTGCATTAATGTTTTGGTTTTGCATTCTTTATTTACAGACTCCTTGAACTGGAGTGTAATTTTTATAATTTGGTGCAAGAGTCCCACTTGAATATCTGGCTAGATAATGACTCCATGAAAATTCACTTAGGAAATTCGGCTTTTCAAAATGAAAGTGAAAACAGAAACATTCCTAATGACATTCGTGCAGCCATCTTCGTTTACTGGCGTTTGAAAAGGCGCTCAAACTTTAACCAACCGCTAATCAATCCAGTTCCATTAACTTGGAAAGAAAGTGCTGATCAAGTAGCTGCCACGACCAACGAAGAACTAGCTCGAGTAGAACGTGCTAATTCTGATATGAAAGCATTTGAGTCATTTAAACGTATTAGATTCGGTCTTGACAGGGCTAGATTAATGGCAGATATGGTCTTGCAAAGAGAACGACGAAAATTAGCTTTGTTTAAGAGAATGTGGCGTATATCTGAAATCCAATTGACTGCTCTTGAAAAACAAAACAGTCTAGTATCTAGTGAATTACTCCGGACTGCTCATATCGGTGAATCTATTTATGATAATTGGGAATTGTTTTTAGCTCATAATAATCCTCCGCATCGGCGTGTTGATCGGGGTAAACATATGTCCTATATTAGTGAATCTAATAACGAGTCAAAGCCTTCATCTGTTTATACTGTTAATGAAAACAACTCTAGTTTTTTACAGACGTCTATACCTAATACAACTACAAAAGCAAACGAAAGTATAGATTCATTCAATATTAGTGCTATTCCTAAAGAATGTTTGATTGTGTCCGATACAATTAAACAGAGACTTCGTTCTGCATTAACACTAGTCGCTGAAAATTGTAATATGTGGAGAGCAGACAAGCATGTAGAAAGTCCCAATCATAAGCGTAAAACAAATAATCATTATATCAAATCACATAAGTCTCTTTCACTTAATCGATTTGAACGTTCACCCTCAAGATCTCATTGTTCTTCACCATTAACTTCATCAACTAAAATAAATAAGCCATTAGAAAATGATATGCCTATTGTTCACGTGAAATTATCGCCAATTCCAGATAGAGCATCGTTTAATTGTGTTAAAAATGTAAATAGTAGTGATAATAATGAATGTACACCTACAAAAAGGCGTAAACAATTTAATAATTCTAATTCAGTATTCGAAAAATCACCACCTAGTCATTCTATTCCTGTTCTTACTAAATTAGCAATGATTACTTTATCACCGGGAGCTGCTAAATTTCTATAAGCTTTTCTTTCACACAAGATTTTAACTATATAATTTGTATTGTCTTGTATATAATATATTGTATAATTGTATTATAAGGTTAGAATTTATCATTGAACATATCTCTTTTATATCCTGTACATAATTTTATTTACTTTCTCAGATAATTTGCTTTCTGCTAAACTGGTTTTATTACTTCACGATAACACTGTATATTGGCAATCTATTCTGTAATTTTCTCAACATCTTGTTATCGTGTTAATATTTTATTTTTTTGCTTTCCATGTATTGTTTCCAATATATTTTGTTATACATGTATTCGTTACTTGCAAGAAAAATAAAGGGCTTGTAACATAGCTTATTTTTAGCTAACTGTGACTGTCTCGTGTTTTAGTTAACCAAACGTACTGATATGTTTTGGAAAATGTTAGACGTTGAAAATTTTAGCATACGTGACTTTTTCTTTCATTCACAAATAGTATAATAATTAATTTAATGCTGTTTCCAGTTGGCTTATGCTTATGAATATTTTGAGGCTTAGAAATCGTTGAGCACAACTTTATTTCTTAAGATTCACCATCTAGGTCCGAAAAGGAACATAACACTACACATCTGATGTAGTCGTTTTATTTGATAGTACAGTCCCAGTAACATATCGCTTGATGCTTTTATAAATAAAGTTGATCGTATGAAAATGATTCATGAGCTGTGGATTATATGTAGTACTATCCTTATTACTCAAATCTCTAATTAAATCTAATCATAAAAGTGTATTCAAAATAGATTACTAGTCCGATAGGTAAAACACATTTATAGTTTGCAAGTGTTGAGATTTGTACTGTTTTATAATTTACCTTGCTGAAGTAACAGAAACAAGACCAAAGTAGGCCGTTTTATGTCTAGGACTGGGACAATTCTAACTTACAAACCACCGATTTCAACATGAGCAATTGTGGATGTTCTGGAAAGATTTGCGACCGTGTTCGCTGAACAGCAGTACTACGAACAACCAAGTAATGACTAGCAGAACATTTGAAATGATGAACTTGCTAGACATAGATTGAATTTTAGTCGGGGATATTGATTAGTTTCAGTGGACGACATGCAGTATTCGTTAAATACTTCGGTCTGTTTAGTTACAAAGATATTATCTGGTTTATTATCAATGACATAAATTCAACCTAATTACGTTTAAGGAATTGAATTGAAGCAGGACAGGATCTATTAGGAACGCAACTTTCGGACATATCCCCACTCGTCTTCCAGTTTGTAGTAACTGAACTTCATTCTTGCATTACATTAGCTTTGGTCGATTAGTTAACTAATTGCTTCTAGCCTATGGCTTTATGCTACTTTCAGTGTTATTTCTGCGTATGACATGTATATGGGACACTGTACGATATTTTGAGGGCGAGACTATAACATATTGGACTTAAGATAATAGGTCTTTGATTTCGGCGCGAAATCCATTCACGCATTTGACCAAGTAGAGTTCTGGAATTTCAGCTGATATCAGTTCGTGATAAAATCCCTAGTTTTAATTCCTAACCCTAACCACCAACTACAAATCATAATCTATATTCTTCATATAGATTTATGACCGTCACTTAGCGCTAGTAAGTTGGTGGATATACCCAAGGCCACTTTAGAGTCGCTCAAAGGTCGTCCATAAATTAGTCTAACCGAAAAGTTTGTTTTTATTGTAGCTACCAGTTAAACTGAAGATATTTTATGCATTTAGGGAGTGTCGCTAAAAAGATCGTCGGTTTATATCCGCATCTAGATACAAAATGTTTATGTAGTGTTTTATCTCCTTTCTTAATAATCTGTTTGTTATTGTGAACATTAATGTGTTCGTGGACAACTGCAGAAATATCTGGCAAATATTGTAGATACAAGCAATTGTTCTAATTACTCTTACCAACTTTAACAGTTAAGTACTTAATTCGGCTACAAGCAGAAAAATGGGTTTCTCATGATACAAAAAAATTCCCTCATTTCTACCATTCAGAATTTCGGAAATGGATTCCGCTGCATACAATCTCTAATCACATCCTTTACAAAGTATGCAATTAATTCTCGTCTTATGTGTTCAGAGCGTTTCCAATAGAATTGCAGTACAGAGTTACCATCCCCAAATATCTTGGTATGTTTGACGGTAAAGTAATTCCACTTCCCCTTTTGAAATACTCTTAAATGCCTAGGGAATTTTTTACCTTGTCAGGAAGCCCTACGTACTGCTTTAATGTGAGAGTGAACGCTATTTGAATGTATTTGGTTGCCACGTACATGAAACTCCATCTTCTGACATAGCACCAATATTTTGTAGATTAGACTCTTAGGTTGGGCGTTCGACGAGTGGTCCACTGAGAATATGACCTAATTTTTGGGAGTAACCAATTCACTATTTTTAGTTTGTTTGTACACCTGTTCTCTAAAAGAAATATGAGACATGCTTGACAGTCAGATGTATAATTGTGATATTAGTTATTGTGCACTTCTCATATGGAACTGAGAACTTTTACCTATGTACACATGGACTTGTATGAATGTTTGACGATCGTCTATTTGGTCTAAATACTATAATTTTGACATACATGTACGATGATATATATATATATATATATACTTAAGATTCATTCATTTCAGTTATCTTTTTTTTGTCCGCCTGACCGCTTATTTGGAACACATTTTATGTAATATAAATTCGTGCTACAGCATATTTGTTATAACACATAATGCTAGCGCTTTCTCTAAGGTGTTTAATTCACTTAGCCGTACGAAGTAAAATAAAACAGTACCAACAAGTACTGAACAAGCCTATACCAACAGTCTTAGTCCATTTATATATGATAATGAAACGAATACGCAAAACTATTAGATATTCCGAAGACTTTTTAACGTTGAAAGGCACTGATCTACGCGAAAAACATGTTGTAGAACGAACCCACAATGTACATTATGAGTTGAAAAGCAAAAGATGAAAGTTTATTTTGTTTAATTAAAGAATACAATAGATAAAGGATAGAAGACAAAAATGCTACGCTTTCATAACACGTTCAAGTTCTGAAACACATTCTCTGACTAAAATCCTAGCAGTGTGAATATTCTTTTTTAGTCTTTCTGCGGCATTTTTGTTATTGGCGTAGGTTGGTTTAATATCTCGTCCCATTTCTTCAATGACTTGCAATAAATGTGCATATTTATTTAAATCATCTATCGGAGGCATCATAGGATAACTGACTGGAATGCTCGTATTTTGTGTCATCCTAAACGACAAAGAAAACCAACAAGACAAATCATAAAGTAAAATCTGACTTGTTTTTAGTGTATTGTACGATGACATTTATTTGACTGACTCCATTCGACATAAAACCGTTAGTATACATTATTGACAAACTAGCATACTATTCGTGCCATGATATAAAATATATGTATTTGTGAGGCGCCCAAGAACCACACCACCACCATCTTAAACCAAGTCTCAGGAGCTACCAACGTACGAGGTTGGGTGCCCAGTGTTCGCTCGAGATTACAGAGCAAATCATGGCGCTTGGACCGAAGCACGTGTGGTTGGAAGACTAGGCCAAGTTATGTACGAGGTAAAGGTGGGGAGAGACACGTGGACTCGACACCGAAACTAACTACGGAAGCGGATGGCCCCAGACCGCCCATCAACAGGAGTAAATCTTCCCCTTGACATTCTGCTTGATACCTTCAACTTACCGGCAGCCCCATCACAAAAAAAGCTCAGCAACAAGCTGACCTCCTTTCCAGAAGGTGGCGTCTCCGACAGCGGCGAACAATAGCCAAGATGCAAGTCGACCCCAGGAAAGTACGCTATTAAAGAGGGGAAGGGGTATTGGAGACGTTAGATCCTCAGAACTCACTTGGAAAAACAGCCTAACAATTTGACTTCAACTATAAATGGAATCCATGTACTAAGTATAAGTTGCGACAACGCCCTAAATGTCGAGTCATGTCACTCAAAATTTTGAGCTTATTATTGCGATTATCACGTAGAATACAAGCAAGTAGTTTACACTTTTCCACAGGATTTATACCAGAAATCAGTGACAGTACGGGCTTACAACAACTCTAGGTTTAGGCACCTTTAGCCTTCTTTTCAAACCATCCCTGATTTACCTGTACTGGCCACCAAAGTAAGGACTCGCTGAACATGAATAGCATCTTAAGCACATCAGCTGATGAAAATTTACGGAATGAAGCGGTCTGCCATTTTGGCATATTATCTTGACGGTGTGCTGATGTAGTGAATTATAGAGATGCACAGGTAGTAGGGATCAAAAGGGACGAATAAAATTGGTAGACAGAAAGTAAACTAATTCTTATGACCAAAGTTTGGAGGGAGACAAAGAATAAATCTTAGTGAACCTTGTTGTCCGACTCGATAAAGGATTCGAACACCCGGATCTTGAAGACGTGGTTTGGAGTGAGACTCCAGAACAACATGGATTAACTTACCCAATTCGAATAGTTAGCACTAGTGATACAAGCAGGGACATTCTAGGATTTTAACAACGGATCGGGTTGTGGATAAGATTAATTTAAGTACTTCCGGGACAACGATAATCATGTGGGTTACTTACTAAGTACAGATTTATGCGTTCGGCTGTCAGCTTCCTTTTTGTAAATAATAGTAATACTATCCGACTACCAGTATAAGGGGTGGAACGGGGTCCGGACTTCCAGCCCAATGATTGAAAGTTGGGTAATCCAGTCACAACCACTTTCGTGAGGTGTGTGGGTGGTTGTCATATTACTGGAATGGATACCGTATAAGTAAAGTTCTAGTCGGCCACAGACCCCAAAGAAAAGTTACTCAAACAGTTACTCTTGTAACATTGACTTAGAAATTATCAAGTCTTATCACCAGAATTGAAAGCCTGTGAAAATGTTGGAGATTTATTTATGCGGCTGCACTAACCCATTATTCTGCTTTGAGGGGGATAAATTACTGGAACTTCGTGGGAAATACAGTTCACATTTGTTAAACGTTGCCTTGTGGGAGCCAGATGGATGTAGTGTATACGAGGAGTAAACATTCCGAGAGTATATAAATCAAAATAAGTGCAAGCCACAACGATCTTCTAAATAGTTAGACTAGATATCAGATCCTCGATTCAAATAGTCAAACTATCTTTTTGGGCAAATAGTGTAATAAGGTTTCACAAACTTATCAGAATCACCACAGTAAACATTCGTGACGGGGAAGGAGTGACGATGAACATACTTCCCCAAAGGAGTAAAAGTTTGGAGCAACAACTAGCCCAACACTTTCCTGATTCGACAAAAAGCAACCTTAATTGGGACTAATGAGACGTACACTGATTATTGGAATACATTTGTAACGAGTTAGTTTTATTCAGTCAATTTATTTGAAGTTAGGTTTTAATGCTGACAGACAGTTGAAGATACTTTGCAACGTCCATTGAGGTTATAACCCCAGTTGATTGAAATCTAGCCACTTAGTTGCACCAACCTAGACAAACAAGGGATGGGAATTAGATGCGAAACTAAGGGGAATTTCTGAAAAGTCCTTATACGTTGGTGTGAATATTACCGACAACTTTATGTATTGTCGCTTTCACCCCGGCCCAGGTAAATAGTGGGATCCTTCCCAAAAATTCCCCACTGTAAGACAATGTCTAGAGATCGAAACCTTAACCCCCAAAGGTCTGCTTTTCACCAAAGTTAACGTTACTGACAATAGATGATGAACGACGTGAACATTAATAGCTATCTCAATAGTGCCAGGGTTATGAATAACTCAAAATCATGTAGTTACGCTTCTTATTGAAGCTCTAGTAAAGTGATTGAGTGACGTTCTTGTCAAACAGAGACGAGCTGAAAACAAATAAGATCACTAAAAGTTACTTTGGCAAAACGAAGACCAGAAGCAACCTTGATTTAATATTCAGCGCTGTTTCCAATATCCAATAAGTGTCCAAATCTTGCTGGAGCTGACGAATTATTTTGCTTTAATTTTCCACTTTATATGAATGGTTCAAGATATTAGGTGGATTCCAGTGTCTTCATTCATTTATCTGAAACAGCTTCTGTAAATTCAAATGGTGGTTTGTATTCGATATATTTTGAAGTGAAATCATTTATCTTTCAAGGTCATCTAACGGCTGAAGCCAGGTGTTTTCATCTTGCTGAGGATTCCTGATCAAAAAACAACGAATCAATAGGGATAAAAAACCAAAGTACTAGAAAATAGTTGACTGGTTTTCACGAGGTTGACCTGAGTATTCAGATCATTAGGTGTGAGTAGGAATCAAATATAGAAAATCGCAAATTTATTTTATAAAACGAAAAATTTGCAGATGTCTCTGAGCACATTTATGTTTCTACAGACGTATTTGTGGTGTTTGTATGAAATAATGATTTCTTTGTACTTGTTGACTGCATGATTTCGAAATTTAAATACAATACGTTTGTTCGTGCTCATCTTATACTTCTTTGTTATGTTGCCTTATTTCTGAGATACTTGATTTGTATTATATCTCAAATACTCCTAATTATCTCAGTATTTTAATTTGTCATCTAGCTCAATTTTAAAATTAATCTGGTTGAACTGGCCACGGACTGATCAACAAATTCGTACAAGAAGCTAGTCTATTGAAATGGGAAGATAAGGAAAAATTAAATTCATTTAAGTCCTACCAGAGTTTTCGAACTTATGACATATTTCTTTCCTAACAAAAGTCAATGTATCAGCTTTTATTAGCCATTACAAGCTGACTGTTATGTTATCCTTTATTATCTGAACTTACTTTTCCTGGTATTGAGAGGAGAGTGATGCCTCTTGAGTTCTCACACTTGCTGGGATCGCTTTTCTTTCGTATGTTGATGAGATGTTCTGCTTTTTAATCTGTTGGTACTTGTTCTTCATCTCAAATCTTGCTGAAGTGAATTGGGCATATATTTACACTTGCTACTATGTCTGCTTACAGTGGCTCTGCCGGAATAATGTCTAGTCCTGCTGCTTTGCCGTCCTTGATTTGTCTAATGGCCAATTGTTGGCGAGTCAACATCGATTCGGAGGTTTGTGTGTTCTGCTGAGATATCGAGTGAATTCGGTGGTTGCCCGTCAAATGAACAGTTTTTTTAAATGCTTTACCCACTTGTTGGTGATTAATTTGCTTTGTTCGCTTTTCACAGGTCGTTTTGGTTAACGATGATTTCCAGCATCACACAGTTGCCTCATGTTTCTTTCTCTTGAAGCCTTTTCCGTTGTCATTCCTATATCTTACACATATACACGTTTATTGGTTCTAATGCTCCTCAATTATTATCTGGAACCTCATGAAAAAAAATGTCATTCTACTGGTTAAATGGTCAAACAATATGATTGAACCAATTAGACAGTTTTCTAAGTAGACAAATTCAAGCACGGATAATTGCAACATGAGCCGACTCATGGATTTCTAGCTCCCACTTGAACCAGCTGTATCTGAGTTATGTCTCGTAGGTTATTTACTGTTATACTCATAATATATTACAAACTAATTCCTATCTGTTTTAGATCACCAACGTAGACGATCTATGTCGGAAATGATTGCAGGCGTACTCGAGTTAGACGTGAATGGTGTGACAAACTAGCTAATGTCGAAGTCACACCTCATGGTCAGCACCTTACGTGTACTAACCCATTGGCATACCAAGGTACCATAGATGCTTTGAAGACTGTACAACACAGAGGACGTTATTACAGAAATATATTAGTTAAGGTAGATACAAATGAAAGTAAGACCACTGCCGCATGGGCCAGTTCATGGTACACGATTAACTTATGCGCGGGGGTTGTACATGACCTTGGTAGGGAGCGATGATCTGCTCGACATTCAGTGATCCAACTGCCGAATGATTTGGCTAGGGCTCAGTAACATTCCACTGGCCCTACACTGTCTCATCATCATCTCGCTTCCCTTTTAAGCTCTACACAAAGGTCTTCTTGCACCGTTTAGATAACGAGTTAATCAATTGGTTTTTTTTCATGTAGTTCTCGAAACAATCGTCTTCTTTAACATACAAAATATCAAGTTATGATTTCCACACTGCAGCGAGCCAACCTGCTGACTGACAGTGTGGTAATTGCTGTTGTTCAGAAACCATACTCAAACTAACAGACCCAAGCTGCCAGCTTTGGGGAAATTTTGGGGAAATCCCCAAGTGAAATAGCCTTCCGCAATGTTTGGGGAAATTTTGGGTTTTCCGTCTCATTTCCCCAAAATCTCCCCA